GTGTGTGTGTGTGTGTGTGTGTGTGTGTGTGTGTGTGTGTGTGTGTGTATGTGTGTGTGTATATGTGTGTGTGTGTGTGTGTGTGTGTGTGTGGTGGCAATGGCGGTGAAATTAACGAGAAGGGGTCAGAGAGTGCAATTTCGCATGCAACAAAACGCTCTTGCCGACAAAGGGGAGCCACAATCAGCCGAACCTGCTTGTGCAAGTCTGTTTCCTGCAAGCGTGCTGTCTGCTGGTGCAGCTCAGATTTGATCTGACGCAGCCGCGCCCGCACGTTCCACTCCGTCAACTCTGATCGTGTGATCCCGCACCATTGCGGGGGGGGGGGGGCAAGGAGAAGGGAATAGGGAAGTGAAGATGAGACGACGATGGTGATTGTGGTGTTGTGGTAAGGAGGTGAGTGTGGGAGAGATGAAATGGGGGGGGGGGGAGGGCAGAGGAACGAAAAAACACTCACACCCACATGCACGCATACACACCCACTCGCACGCGCACACACCCACACGCGCGCGTGCTTCTTGCAAACAGGATGCAGCAGCAAGCACTGATGTTGCAGCCATACCGAGCGGGTTGTGAGCAAAGTTGCACTCGTTGCCATAGTGGCAGTTGGGAAGGTTCTTGCACAGCGTAAACTTGGCGTTGATGTAGGGCGGTGTGCGGAATTGCCACTGTTGTTGTCGTTAAAAGTGTGTTAGTGAGTGTGTGTATGTGCGTGTGTGTGAACATGTGAGTGTTTGCGAGTGTGTGCACAAGTGGCTGAATATGAGGCAGCAATGCAAGCGAAGCCACGTGTCATCAACAAAGCGTCATATCAATCAACTGAGCAACCAGAAAAACAAAACAGTACGGTCAGTTGTTGCCTCAAGCTCACCTCAGGTGACTTTGCTGGTTTCTTCGGCATGCGCGCACTCCTAGCACACGACAGCGTGCAACATGGAGTCAGTTGTGTGATGAATCAGCGCAAGACACTGGGCCAAACGCAAGTAGCGAGTCCACACTGTTGTGTGCCCACAAGTTCACACACACACACACACACACACACACACACACACACACACACACACACACACACACACACACACACACACACACACACACAAATTGGCAGCACGCGCGACTGACTGTGACTTGAGGCGGATGACGAAGGATTTCTTGTCCTCTGAGACGACAATTTCGTCGCTGAGGTCCCACAGCACATCTCGCAGCTTCTCGTGCCCGGGCTTGTCCCGCGAGCGCACGCTCAGCGGCTGCGCACATGCACACACCATGAAGGATCATGAGTGAGTTGAGTTGATGTGAGTGCTGGTACAACGGTCGCACGTGGTATTGCGCCCCACTTCGCTTCCAATCATACGCCTCCTCCCTTCTTGTACGTGCACACACACACACGCAAACACCACGCGCTCACACGGCACCCTTGCTTGGGTGTAAGTGTCGGTCACCTTCTTGTGCTTCTTGTAGAAGCGGGCGAGGACGAATTTCCCCTCGAGCGGGCCTTCGTCGCGCAGCAGCGCGTTGACGCTTGCACGCAGCTCACCCATCGACATCCCTGGCAACAGCACAGCAGCCAGAGCAACCGCAACCGGTGACACATGAGCACACAAGCAGGTGTTGTCCTCTCTCTTGCTTGCATGCGTAGACACGCGCGCACTCAAAACGTGTCTGCTGTACCCTCAACACCACGGAAAAGAACACACACACACTTCACACACTTTCACACTTTCACACACGCAACCACTTTCACACTGCCACCACCATCAACATCATAGGGCATGTGTGTGTGTGTGTGCGAAAGAGTGCATGCAGACCTTCAGTGATGCCGAGGAGAAGCTGGATGAGGTTTGACGAGTCCCACGGCGGCGGCTGGAAATGCTTCTTCAGCGGATCCCACCCGAGCGTCTCTGCGCACCAGCAGCCAAATCACGCAGAGGTAAGGCAGAGAAGAAGGCGGGGGGGGGGGCAAAGAAGGACAAAGAACGACGAAGAGGGAAGTAATCATACACGCACATACATCCACATACACACACACACATACACACACATACACACGTGCAAGGCGTGAGTGGCAGAAAAACAGGAAGGGAAGAAGCATCCTCAAACGTGCAGTCATGGCTGTGCACTCAAAAACAAGTATGATTGCCTGCAAGCACAGCACCGGCCACTGCCTGCAAGCATGTCATCATCACAGGTACCGCACCGAGGTATGGGGAGAGCTGGGGAACAGTGTCGATGGCCTGAGCAAACGCTTTGTTGAGCTGACGCTGCCCGACGGGTGTTTTGCTGAAAAGGGGAAGATTAGGGCGAAAGGCAGGAAAGAAGGGTAGTTGCATGAGTGCATGAATGCATGAATGCATGAGTGCATGACGACAAAGTGGATGCAAGGATGGGTGGAGAGTTGGGGACAGGTGAGAATGGGATGATGCAATGAGAAGAACCCGTGTCGCAATGATGAACGGGCGCGCCACATTGCCCCTCCCCTTCTTGTATTGTGATGATATCAACAGCAGTGCATGCACACACATACACACAAACACAAACACACACGCACACACACACACAAACAAACAAACACAAACACACACAAACACACACACACACACAAACACACACAAACAAACAAACACACACACACACAAACACACACTGTCGAACATATAATCACGACTTTGAAGAACGACTGAACAGCAACACCAACAGCACGCATGCCATTGCTTACAAGTCGATGTTGAGGATGCGGGTGAGCAGCTGCTCCAGGTGCGTCGTTTGCGTGGGGGAGACGGAGACAACAGCGTCCAGCGTACGCTGGCGCGTGGTTGGCGGGGCTGCAATGGCAACGATTGTGCCGAAGACAGCATGGCAGCAACGTATGGCGAGAGCGTGATGGTGAGTGAAATCCAGGGCACGGGGTGAATAGGAGAGAAAAGGGCACCAGGGCACAAGCATTGCAGCCGACAAACCTTCAATGTTCCAGTAGGCGATTTCAGCTTCCGGTGGGCTGCTATGTGCCTTTGGGCAGGTGATCTTGTGCTCGCACTGCCGCCCTTTCGGGCACGCCATGTACTGGGCCTGCGGCGTCGTCTTTGATGCCGAACGTGAACGCAAGAAGGAGCAGCACATGCAGAGATCAAGACATTGCGGTGTGAGCACAAGGCGCTGTTCTAGAATGAAAAAATGAACAATGCAGCAACAAAAACATGTGTGTGTGTGTGTGCGTGTGTCGACAGCGGTCACGAGGTGGTGGGTGTGGTGGTCGTGATGGTCGTGGTGACTCGTACCGGTGGTGGCCGCACAGGCACCCAAACGCGTGGTTGCTTGGAAGACGAGGACCAGAGGACTGCAGTGACACAGTTGTCATCTCCTGGAATGCGACTTGCACAGTACTGGCATGGGCGGCTCGGGTCACGCTGGAAACAGCGGACGCAGAACGTCCACACTTCAAGCTGCACAGCACACAAGGGCATGTATGCGCGCAGCGTGAGTCGGCCGTGCAGGTGCAGACACGACTGTCAACGCCCGACCTTGGCAAGTCATGCACACACTTGTACACACTTGTACACAAACACGCGCACAAGCAAACACAAACGAAAACACATACACAATCACACACACACACAAGCAAACACAAACGAAAACACATACACGTTCACGCAAACACACAAGCACACGCACGCGAGAACACAACCACACACACACACACGAGAACACAACCACAATCACACAAACGCCATGCACTTGCATGCAGCGCACCTCCATTGGCGCGTCCTTTTGTTCAATGCCAAATGGGGACGTGATCTAGGGACAAAACACAGGCATACAATGAGCATACCAAAGGTGGTTGTGGCCACGACGCACAGCATGAGTCCCAAACACTCCTCTCTCTCTCTCTCTCTCTCCCCAGGCGTCGTCACTGCACTCCATCTACCTCACGTCCCAAACCAAATACAAGAACACAGCAAACCACGCCAGCACAACCCCACCAAAGCTGTCTGCTGCTGTTGTTCGTCGTTCAATCTCGTGGGCTGCGGTCCGAAAATTACCGAAAGATACCGCTCAATTGTCCTAAATTGCCTGCTCCTTGCGAATCTCGAAAGGAGGGCAAAGCAAGCAAGCGAGGGAGTGAGCAAACAAACAAGCGGCGATGGGGAACAAGGCGAGCAAGCGGAGAGATGAGCGGACACTGGCTCACCTCACTGAGGTAAAGGGAGGCGGAGAGTTGGGGGGAGCGTGGGTAGACATGGTCGTGTGCACTTACATGCATGTGTGTCGCCTTGCTTTCGTTTGCTTCAGTGTGCCTTCTTCTTGTTTGTGATGGCAACCTCACGCTGTTGTGTTTGTGTGTGCACCCCACTGCTTCACAAGGTGGTGCAAGAGCTGAACGATGACCTTGCCTTTGGGGCCTACCAGAAGGAGGTGTGTGTTGGTTGAAGTGGGCCCGAAGTTATGTCTTCCTCTTCTTGTTGGTCTTTTTGTTGTGTTGATAGAGATATTCGATATTGTTGAACCGTGCCGCCCCCCCCCCCCACAATGCTTGTGCCTGTCTTGTCCCACATTCTCTGGCCCCCACACGGATGTCACACTCCAGCACCCACGTTGTTCGCATTGCACGTGCTCCATCTGTGTGCCAGATCTTTGATCGAATTCAAGGGCTGGCGCTCCGCATTGAGAAGATGGAAAGGACGGTGGATGACCTGTCGACGATGATCAAGGCGCGCGGCTCGTTCCGCCGGCATCGCAAGCTGAGCTTCCGTGCGGCGTCGCTGCGCAAGTCGCAGAAGGACGGCAGTGGGGACGACACGCCGTCTCGGCGATCCAGCTCCAGCTCCCTTGCGGCAGGGCTGCCGCCACTGTCATCGATCCCAAGCAAAGGTCCCCCTGCGACAGTTGCAGGTGTCACTACACCACAGCAGCAGCAACCGCAGCAGCAGCAAGGCGACCTGATCCAGCCTGCTACTCAGCCGCCGCCACTACCACGCGCTGGCAGCGTTCAGGAGTATGTGCTTTCGATCGTGGATGATACAGCACAGGCTGCGGGTGCGCATTCGCGTCGCAATGTGCCCGAGTTTGTGGAGCCAGACGATGTGCAGTCCACGTCTTTGGCGGCCAAGGACAGCAGAACAGAAGCACAAGCGACAGGCAGTGCGTCGCCCACGAAAGCAACGCCTGCCGTGAACACTGCGCCCCAACAACCGCAACACCAACAACAACAACAACAACAACAACAACAACAACAACAACAACAACAACAACAACAACAACAACAACAACAACAACAACAACAACAACAACAACAACAACAAGGTGTGTCGTTTGTCGCCGACTTTTCTGACGATGGTGAGGAGAGGACAGAGATGCAAGAGCCAGCATCATCATCAACACAACACACAGCAGCCGCGGCCGCGCAAGTGAAGGCGGTGGATGAATACCTGGAGGTGACAGGTGCCGTTGGCGGCGAAACAGAAGTGGATGAACACGCCAGCACAAGCGACAGCGACAGCCGTGGTGGTGGCAATGATGGTGGCGACGACGACAGTGGTGAGATGAGGATTAGCGGTAATGCGAGTGGACAACAACAACAACAACAACAACAACAACAACAACAACAACAACAACAACAACAACAACAACAACAACAACAACAACAACAACAGCAGCAGCAGCAGCAGCAGCAGCAAGAAGGTGACGAGCGTGGGTCATTACGTGCTGATGACAAGCGCAAGCCTGCAAGCCGCGACCATGGTGTTGAGACACGCAAACAACAACAACATCAACAACAACAGCAACAACAACAACATCAACAACAACAGCAACAACAACAACAACAACAACAACAACAACAACAACAACAACAACAACAACAACAACAACAGCAGCAGCAGCAGCAGCAGCAGCAGCAGCAGGAGGAGGAGGGGCGTGAGAGGAGTACATCGCCACCGCCTCCGCCCCCAAGTGCCGGACTGTCGTCCCGGTTCTCCTCTCGTGCGGGCTCACGTGCTGGCGGTCTCGGCCGTCCACGCGCCAGCACAGCATCCATATCATCATCGTCGTCCTCATCGTCAGCAGCAACAGCAACAACAACAGCAACAGGTACAAGAAGACGGGGCTCTGACAACAATGCACTTGCGAATGGAGACAGAGGAAGCGACGCGCTCTCCCCAGCTACCACCGCACCCAGTGGGGGCAGCAGCCGCGATGGTGGTGATGATGGTGGTGCTGGGAACGACGATGACGCGAAACCAAAGCGCAGCGTGCGGCGACACAAGCGGCCAAGCACGCACAGCAACCTGGGCCATAGCGCAGGCAGCGAGGGGCTGTCTGATCTGGTGTTTGAAGGCGCAGCCGTGGTGCCCAGTGGCGCTGACGAGGGCCCCAACGAGATTGACTTGCTGCTCGGGCTGAAGCCCGCGAAGAAGCGAAGCTCACGGCGCAGGAGGAAGAAGAGCGCGTCATCATCATCGTCGTCGTCGTCATCAAAGACGAAGGCAAAGGCGAAGGCGAAGTGACGTGTGTGTGTAGGGGGGGGGGGGCATGTGTGTGTGGGTGTGTGGGTGGGTACGAGGTATGTGAATGGGAGAGGAGGGTTTCATTACATTTAGTGGTGTTTGCGTGCACCTGTGCTGTGAGCTTCTGTTCAAAGTCAGAGCTGCCTTCAATGAAGTTGTCACACATCAACAACAAGCAAAACAGCACACTGGGAGAAGAGAGCCAAAGCGCACAAACAAACACAAAGCTGAATAACAACGGGTGCGACCACACACAACTTCCTCACCACACTGCACCACCATTCATGTCGTCGTCGCGGCTGCGGTCTGGCAAGGGCAGCAAGCATGGCAAGACGCCGCTGCTGCGCGATGAGCGCCCCTTGATTCGCCGCGAACGATCAAGAAGGAGAGACGAGCTGCCAACACGCCGCCTCGACGAGGTAGACTGTTGTGCGTGTGGACATGTGTGTGTGTGCATGTGTGTGTGTGTGTTTGTGTGTGTGTGTGTGTGT